TATATATATATATATATTCAATCTAAAAATTACATTTTTTATCATCATTATCATTACAAACCTCTATGACTTTCTTTTTCTGTGCATCACAAAAGTAGATAATCTGAATACTGTGCTGGCTGCTCCTTTCCATACAATTTTAATGAATGCAGAATGAAGCTTTCAAGCAACAAAAAGGTGATAGTAAAGACATGAATGTATATTAATAGTTAATAATAGCAGTAAAGACAATAATACAATAACGTTACAGAACAATTCAAAAGGTTTCAAATAAATGCTGTTCTTTTGAATTTTCTATTCAACAAAAAATCCTGAAAAGTCTCAAGAATCAGACCGGCCCAATTCATGAACAAATTATTCAGTCCAGTTTCATGAACTAGATTAACTGATTCTTTGAAAAGATCAGATTTAAGTCAAGTCACCTTTGATTTTTAAAGCACTTTATACAGTAGAGATTGTTTCAAAGCATCTTCACAGTATTAAAAAGGAAAGTAATAGAATCAATGATGCAAACTTCAGAAACTGAGGCAAATCCAAATTCTGTTATAAAGCAGCTGCTGCAAGACAATAGTGTCATATTCAAAAGGATTTATTCATGAATCAGATATTGGTATTTATTTTATGAACACTAGGGCAGATATTAAGATTTTGAGTCAATATCTACTTAATTGCTATATTTTTTTCTTAATCAAATCTAAAGTCAGAATACTTCAAATATAACAAAAGAGTCAAATGGCTCACTTTTCTCATACGTCTACTTCTATGTTGCTTGTTTGTGCTTTTTGAAACTTCAGTCCCATTTTATTACAATTCCATGGAAATATTGGCCAGCAAAATGTCTACTTTTGTGATCCACAGGTAGAAAGTCACACTGATTTAGAACAACATGAAACATGAAACTGAAATTAACTTTCATTTTTGACTGAAATATCCCTTTAAATATGGAATCATCCCTGACTAAAGTCCATAGGATGGTCAAGTAAAACTCTGCAACTAGTTCTAGGAATGTGTGTTTCTATGTCTGTGTAAAGGAAGAGGACTTGCAGAGAATTATAAATAACCATGTAATTTACACCGTTCATCTTGCCCAAGTGAGTTGCTGCTAGTGTCACCAACAGTTCTCATGTGTGCAAGTGTGACCGTGTGTATACCGAGTGTGCGAGCAAGGACACGGTGAGTATGTGTGTGTGAGGGTTGCTGTGTGTCTTACCTGGCCGTGTGGTCCCATCATGGGGTTGCTGGTATTGTGTGGGGGAGGCTGTGCGTGTGGTGATGGCTGCGAGCCGGGAGGCCCCTTTAAGAGAGAAGAGGGAGATGAGAGATGCACAGACGGCCTTCTAGTGAGGCCTGCTGCTGCCGAAGCCCTTGCACAAAGTAACACACACGACTAACACTCAAGACACAAACTCAACCACACTCATTCACTAGGTACTAAATACTGGTGAGAAAAGCCAAAGCTAGTGTGTAGAGTTCAATGAAAAATGGAATAGATTTATGAGAATCAAACAACCGTTACTGCAAGCAGAAAGTTCTCGACAAAACATGGCAAAATTCTATAGATTAACTTCATCATTTTGAAGAAAAATGTCTGCAAATTCATATTTTAGGCTAAAAAAGTTATAACACCAACCATACAAGCTCAACAGCACCGAGGGACATTGAACAATCATAACAGAAAATCCTAATCACTACAAATATGGATGTACTAATATCTAAATATTGATAACTAGATAATTATTTTCATATAACTGATATATTTTACTCTAAATATTTTATATTTAAAATGTTTTAATATAGATGCCAAAATTGTGTTATTTTGTAAAGCATAAAGTAAAATATAACAATAAAAATTGAATTAAAAAATAAGTTCACTAAAATATAAAATGCAAAAAAAAAAATTTAATGTGAATTTAAGAATCACAACATTATAATGTAAGTATGAAAAATGAATATTCATTCTGAGACTTGTTAGAGGTTACATTTAAGTTATTAAATGATTAGTTAAAATGTGTACAAATATAACATTAAGGAGAATGAGAATGCAGAATTCAATATTGACCAATACCACTAAATCAAATAAAAGATTGCATTAGGTTTAAAAAATAATGTACACAAGTTTTAATAAAGAAAAACAACAAAGATCATTTTAGCAAACGCATAGCAAGGCCCTTGTACTATGATGACAAGTTTTGCATGAGCAAACGCCACAGACATTTTCTTCATAACAAGTAAAATTAGTTTAGAACGCATCGCTGTTCGTGCACATTACGTGCTGCGGAAATATTTCCACGAAATGCGTCACATTAAACCCATTAAACTCTTTACTCCATATAACTACTGCACAGAGCTTCCATTAGTGTTCATTAATGATCAACAGGCCATTGAGCTCAAGTAAAAAATGGTTCTGTAAGGAACATGAGACTATATGACCAATAACTAACAAACAACAAAGGAGCTTTGCTTCTTTTCCTCTCCCTCCCAGAACAACAAGCCTGAATGCGAAACATATGGCATTGTGGGTCCTGTGCATCTATATTAGTGTCCCTACAGAAGTGTTCATCCAATCACGGTCACACTGCAGTCCTGCCTCATTGGGGAAGGATCTCAAAACAGCGATATATATAAAAATCACTTCCAACACCTTTGAGAAGATAATAACCTGCCACTTACTGGCATGGCTATCAACAGAGAGCCCTTCAATCTCCATTCTCAGGCTCTAAAGGGGCAGTTAGTTTGACAGAATTCATACACTCTGAATGACGGCCGCAGGACAGCTGCAATAGCTCTTCTCGACCACTCGGGAGCAGTGTTAACAAAGCAACAGTGCAACAATATTTATTTGTGAACGTCTTCACTATTTGACTATACAGTAAACATATGCATACATTTCTATGCTAAACATACTGATGTCAATGGATCGTCTTTGAAGTTCAGTGACTAAACAAAAGAAGAGAAAAATCTTATGAGGGAGGCAGCAGAAGAGGCTGTTTCAGTAGTTTTTTCACCGCCCTGTGGAGTCTGTGTATGTGGCTGTGACCCGCACTTATTACCGCCTCTTGACCTTTGGCCAGTGCTCAGACCTCAGACAAGCCCTCCCGCTGGTTTCAGAGCGGCTGAGGAAACCATCCATCCAGCACAACCGGAAATCTCCTCGCTGATGATCAGAACTGCCACACAGACCGCAGCTGCAGAACAACACAGCTGCCCAGGGTGCAACACTGACCCACCCACGCCAACAAAAATAACACAACTGAAAGAGATACAGCACAGTCAGAGTCTGACAAGTGGCCTATAGCAGTTAGTAAAGATGCTCTGATACACAAATGCAGCTGGCCACTTTTTTCAGTACAGATTTATTTTTTCTCTACCGTCTGTATGAATAAAAGTGGCCAAAATGCACAAAATATGCTAAAGGATAAAAAGCAATAATCCATCCAAAAATTAAAATTGTCATCATTTACTTATCTTCATGTCGATACAAATCTTTATGACTTACTTTCTTCTGCAGAATACAAAAGAAGATATTTTGAGGAATGTTGGTAACTAAACTTCTTCGGGCCCCATTGACTTCCTTTTTCATTTTTGTCCACACAATGGAGGTCAGTGGGAACCCGAAACTATTTGGTTACCAACATTCTTCAAAATATCTTCTTATAGAAGTCAACGGGAAAAGAAACTGTTAGTTAGCAGCATTCTTCAAAATATCTTCATATAAAAGTCAATGAGAACTGAAATTGTTTGGTTATCAACATTCTTCAAAATATCTTCTTATAGATGTCAATGGGACTTGAAACTGTTTGGCTAGCAACATTCTTTCAAATATCTTCCTAACAAAGTCAATGTTGGTTATCAACATTCTTCAAAATATCTTCTTATAGAAGACAATGGGAACAGAAATGGTTTGGTTAGCAACATTCTTCAAAATATCTTCTTATAGATGTCAATGGGACTTGAAACTGTTTGGTTAGCAACATTCTTCAAAATATCTTTTATGGAAGTCAACAGGAATGGAAACTGATTACCGATGTTCTTGAAATTTTCTTCTTTTATGTTCTGCAGAAGAAAAGTAAGTCTTACAGGTTTGGAACGACATGAGGGTGAGTAAATGATGAAATCTTTTTTGGGTGGACTATCCCCTTAAGCATTGCTAGGTTGATTTAATTGCATGGGATAACATTCATTTAGTGATAACAAGCAGCCTGTTTATAAACACATGCATGAATTATGTGCACCGATAAACACTTACAGCTTAGGTAAGGACTTTTTGAGCTGGTTTTTGGGAGATTTTTGTTTCCGATTTAATCGTGACCCGTCTCTGACCTCCCTGTGAGAGAGGATCGCTGCGGGGTCTGGCATGAAAGCTGCTCCACTGACTGTCCCAGAAACCATGCGCCGATACAACAGGAATACATGAGCGTGTGTGTGTGTGTGTGTGAGAGAGAGAGAGAGAGAGAGAGAGTGTTTTCCCTGGCTGCCTGCCTTTTTCAGAGTGGGTCTGAGGGAAGGATTAGAGGGGTCTAGGGATGCTCAAGGCCTCTTTAACTCACAGTAGCACTGAGGTCATGACTGTTCATTACACCTCATCACACACAGCAGTGGTAGCGCTCACTCTGCTGCTTGCTGTCTGCCTTTCTCTGCTAAATAATCTTGGTCCTTCACTAACACCCATTCACTTCCACTACACCTGACTTCCTACACAATAAAAGCAGCGGTATTGGTGACCATATTGGCAAATATCTGCATTTTTCTATTATCCAGACTGGTGTGATTAGAAAGATATTGGAAGCAGATGATACCACAACTTGTTCTTTACATACATTTTTACATATTCATATATGGAAAATCTGGAGTTCAAAATCAAATTTAAACCTGTTAATAAAAAGAAGAAAGAGTTTAATGTCTTTGAAAAAAGTCTCATGCTCAGTAAAACAGTAATATCTTCATATTAAAATACATTTTCTATTCTAATTATATTCTAAAATGTAATTTATTCCTGTGATGGCAAAGCTGAATTTTCAGCCACCATTACTAAAGACTTCAGTATCACATGATCCTTCAGAAATCATTCTAATATGCTGATTTGGTGCTCAAGAAACATTTATTTTTATCAATGTTAAAAACAGCTGCTTATTTTTTTCCAAGTTTAAAGCATATATTTGAAAAATGTTAAAATTGTTTTTAACATTATAAAATGTCTTCAGCTGAATTTAATTCCTGCTGAATAAAAGTATTAATTTCTTTGAAAACAAGGATAATCTTACCCACCCCAAAGTTGTGAATGAATGTGTTCATTCGATCAAAAAAGCTTGAAAGTATTTTTAATACCTTTAGACTTCAAATTTACATTGTACACCATTGTACTTTAAAAATGGTACATAACTAAAAAATATGGTATTACTGTGGTATTACTGTGGCTATATGGTATTTAATCAACAGACACCATCGTACAGATCATAATCTCAGCTATTATATCTGTTATTACAAAAGATGTATCAGCAGTATGAGCTACAATTTCTATATTGTGCATCTCTCCTAAACAGATGAATGAACCAAAACCCACACAGTCCTGGTCTCTCAATGATGTGGTAGAAACTCATCTCAGGAGCAGCAATCACACACACACACACACACACACACACACACACACCAGAACACCTCACACCTCTTCTCTCTCTCCCTCAGCACTGAGCTGATATAAATAGCACTCCTCTGCTTCTCCAAAAGATCTCCTCCGCACCTCTCCCTCCTTCTCCTCAAACCTTTCCCCTATATTGCTCTCCTAACCCTTCCCTCCCCATACAGCAGAGATTCCAGACAGCGGTCCTCCCTCAGCTCTGCCTTATCACTAACACTGCCAAATGCCAGGCCTGTCCATCACTGAGCAAACGCTCCACCACCCCCGCTGCATCATGGGAAGGGCTGTGGATGTGTACAAGCATGTTTGATTATGAGGCTCCGCGTGTCCGTGCTTGTATGCAAGTGGTTGTGAGGTTTCATGTAAACACACAGAAATGGAAATTAAAAAGCTCTTAAGCACAATAAATAATCTAAATCTCCACCTCATGACACATAGAGGAAATTGATGAAAAACTGATATCTGAGCACGTTATAATTAATATCACCATTACTGTAAACACACAGAAATGGAAATTAAAAAGCTCTTAAGCACAAAAAAAAAAATCTAAATCTCCACCTCATGACACATAGAGGAAATTGATGAAAAACTGATATCTGAGCACGTTATAATTAATATCACCATTACTAGTGCTCATACTGGAGATTAGAGATTTGAAGAAACCACTAATAATTAGCGATGCACCAATATTCAAATACTGGCTGTCACCAATAAGTTGTTAATTATTTTCATCTTATGGCCGATAGCATATAAATGGGCAATATTAAAATTCTACAAAAATTCTGTACGAATATATAAAATATTTTGTCAAATAAGCTACAAATAAAAACGCATCTTAATAAAAGCATAAATGCTACAGTCTTGTCTTTTTAAGCATCACAACATTGTAATGTACAGTGTGAAAATTCATATTCATTTTGAGATTTGCTAAAGATTATTATTAGTGCTTTTTAAAGATAAACTTTAGGTTAGATGATGACAGCAAAGGGAATCTAAACATAACAATAAGAGAAATCACCATGCATCATTAATTATCCAAAATCAGCCAAAAAATAAAATTTAAAAACCCTTTAGAATTGGTGATAGCATGGTACGTATGGCAACTCGGATTGAGTGGCTTGAGAAGAACTTTTAATCTGGCAGACGATAAAACGGGAAAATAAATGAGAATGAAGGGAGGGACCATATCTAGGGAACAGAAAATCATAAAGACTTGACTTATTTTGACTTGTGCCAAAAAGTAACCACCTAGCAACCATTAAAAACACTCAGAACTCCTTAGCAACTGCAAAGCAACGCCATAGCATAACGGCAGCAATATTTCCACAGGAAAGCACCACTCGCATTTTCTTCAGAACAAATCAAATCTAGTTTAACTTCAATGTCGCAGTATAGACACTATTGATAAAGAAGACTGATCTGTTTCCATAGGCCATCCACTTAAAATGGCTTAAGAAACTGATCAGAGAGAGAAAATTGTAAATGTCCACATCGCATTTAACAAGTATAACACCTTCATGAACACAACACGGCCTGCAGTATGGAATGAATAAAGCTGCAAGCAGATGGATAGAGGTATGATAAAGAAAGAGGAGAAAGCTTAGCAAGGAAGAAAGAAATACAACAAAATATTTTAAGGAGGTACAGTCATTCAGAAGCACATAAAGAGTGAAAATCCCATTCATTCATTTTCTCTCTCTCATAGTCACAGTTAAATGTTTTGTAACACAGTTAATTGATAACCAGCAGCAACTGTTTCCATTGATTCGTTATGGGAGCCGTATTACAGAAACATCCAAACTCCAGATATTATTAGCTGTTTAGTAACTATTGGGGTCTCAATAACTTGAGAAAGGAAGTGTAATACAGCTCCAGAAATGTCACTAGAGCTACTTTCCACTAACACTTAATGCTCTGAGCCTCCATCTTACCGGTGAGGAATAATACTGTGTGGAAAAAAACAGAAATTCAGAATGATCTCACACAGACAGCAGAGCTCCAGGCTGCTGTCAAGCCGCCCACAGCCACAGACAGACCCACCAGCAGCCCACGCGCACACAGAACGAGAGGGAGTGAATGAACGAATGGAGCACAGGTGTGACAGGGTGATGAATGGAAAAGAAGGCAAGGAAGAGAATGAAACCAGCTGTGCTTACCTGAAAGAAACCAGGGGGCATGGGTCCGCCCGGCATGCCGTCGTTGGGGGGCATGTTGCCCATTACGGGGCTGGGGGCTGCTGCTGCACTCTGGGAAACAGACAAGAGAACAAGTTAGTACAGATATTAGACAACCCTGATACAATACTAATATTACACCAATGCTACTTTGATTTCGACGTGACATGATTTATAGTGCATTGTTTGGTTCATCAATAAAAATATGGCATCAAAACACAGGCTTTTCAAAACCTGATGCTGATATTTGGGTTATGAGTGTTATGCAGTACAGTTACATGTCTCCATCATGTCCTCATATATTGTTTACAAATTTTAAATGCAGAATTTGTAAAGATGAAAATCATATTAGTTCATTTTTTATCAAAATCGCCATTTTGACATGTGCAACATTAAAAACTAGCATTTATATTACATTTCTTTTTCATTTTCTCTTCCAAATGTTTTAAACAAAAACTTGAAAGAGAATATTGTTTTAATTTGTAAATAAAATTACAGCGATTCATTTATTTTTATAGCTTATAATTTGATAAAATAATAAATTTAGTTTAAATAATATTTACAAAAATAAAATAAAAATTATTGACATTATTTATTCTCAATACTAATATATAGTAGTGCTGTCAAACAATTAATCGTGATTAATCACATCCAAAATAAAGGTTTTTGTTTACATAATGTGTGTTTACTGTGTATATTTATTATGTATATTTAAATACAAGCACATGCATATATATATTTAAGAAAAATATGTTATGTTTATATATTAAATATATTTATATATAATATAAGAATATAAATATATAAATGTATATACATGTAAATATTTTCAAAATATATACTGTATATAAATATACACAGCACACAGACATATATTATGTAAACAAAAACTTATTTTGGATGCGATTAATCGCGATTAATCATTTGACAGCACTAATAAATAGATTACTTCATAGATTTTATATGGAATATATATACATGTTTTATGGAATATAAAAAAGTTATATTTCAAATATATTTTGCTCTTTTTAATTTTCAATTCATCAAAGAATACTGAAAAAAAGAAAGATCACACTTTTCACAATAAAAAAATTTGCACAAAGCTAAAAATTCAGCTTTGCCATCATAGCAATACATGCCATTTTAAAATATATTTATTAAATGCTTACGGAACAGAAAACAGAAATGTTATTTTAAATTGTAATAATATTTATTGCATTTGTGAATCAAGTAAACGCTTTTAGGACAATGTTATTTACCCATGACACTAATAAAACAACCAAATATGGCAGGAGAAGAAATAAAACAACTGTCTTAAGAGACAAATTAGGGCTGCACGATTATGACAAAAATCATAATTGTCGATTATTTCCTTGAAATTGTAATTGCGATTATTAATTACGATTATCACAATTTACATTGAATGATGTTTATACCATTTTTTTATGCAACTGCATGCTGTATTTTTATATGAAAATAAACAAGCTGAAAACACTCTAACTGAAAAGCTTTTAGTGCTTTTCTATAGTATTAAGCCTCAAATGTCAACTAAACATCGGATTGGTTTCTTCTTTAAATTATTAAAAAATAAAAATATGAATGGTATTATAATGTTATACTAAAACTAAAATTAAAATAATGGGAAAAACCCTTAAGATAACATGTAGAAAGAAAAAAACGCATCTTAAGCACGCAGAATAACAGAAGTGGACTTTGAACGATTAATTGCCGCTTTGAACGATTATGTAATTGTGGCATCCATAATTGTAATCGCGATTAGAAATTCGATTAATTGTGCAGCCCTAAGACAAATGCTTTAACAACAGTTGAGCAGACACAATACAACTATAAAGAAACAGAATAGCAGAATTTGCTATTGCAGTTTGTGTAATTACCGCAAACAAAGCTTTTAGCTGTACAACTTCGCTACACGGCTTTAAAACAGAGCAGAATGCTAAGTATCAGTGTGCATTTACACAAGTAAAATCACTCTCGGTAAACCTGCACATTCAGCTCAAAGAGTGTTAACACGAGATGTTTATTTGCATCAGAAAAATGCCTGCTTGTGTATCTGTGTACATACTTCCCCTGGTAAAAAGGGGCATAAAACAAGCAAACAGAGCGAGAGGAGCCTCAAGTGGAATCTCCTGAGCTAGTGGAACACTTAGAGACTGGGGCCCCTTTCCTCCGTTGGCCCCGTTCCCTCTTTCAAACCTCTTTAACAGTCTGCTGCTGCTGGGGGCTTGTGTGCTTGCCAGTCTGCCCTGTTCTACCGGAGAGAGAGAAGATGGAAGGAGACGAGGCACATTGTGTGAGTCTGTGTATGTGTGAGTGAAAACGAGAGGAAAAGAGACTAAACAAGGAGGGAAAGGGGGGAAGATAAAGGAGAAAGTAATAAAAAGAGAAAGAGAAGGAGGATTAAAGATCAAGAGCTGGCAGTCGGCTCACACACTCCCTCCCCCTGCTGTAACTCAAACCTCTCTACAGCCGCCGTACAAACAGCTACGCCACCTCTGACCTCAAACACACACAATATGCTAATACACACATACACAAACTCACACAGTCTCTCTCTCACACACGCATGACCCAAGGGGTCAGTGGGTGGAGCTTATTGAGAACTACTCCTCCCATTTACTCCTGAAACACAAACACTGGGAAAGGCTGATTTATGGAATACTCAAAGATTTTGCTGCTGATATAAAATGAAGCAACATTATAATGCGCTTTTTATCTTGCATTTAAGTTTCCTACCAGTTAAGCCTACTTTAACAATCGCTCATTTGTTGTGCATTGCGCAAATATGATGTTGTCATATAATAACGTCAAGTAGCAAAACAGCTTCGAAAGTTGCTGTGTTTGATTCATTTCTATGAAGCAGTTCAAATAATTCTAATTAAATTGGCCATTTAAATGAATCAAACTGAATCAATTCAAAACTATGATTCAGTGATTCAATTGCACCATGATTCAGATGTTAACAGAAGTCCCTGCAATATATTAAATATTGAAAATGATTTTGCTGGCAATATAAAATTAAGCAACATTGTGATGATTTTAATGTGCTTTATATTAGGCCATTAAGTTTTTTTAAAGACCGTGTCATTAGATTAGTTTCACAATTCCTCCTTGTCTTGTTTCTCAAAAGCATGACAGTGCTAAGACAGTAATTCAAGCTTCAGTAGAAAAAACGCTATTAGATTTGGCAAGTTCGATTCATTTTTGTGAATTACTTCAACCTGCCATTTTCAATTAATTAATTAAACACTATGATTCACTGATTTGTTTGCATCTTTCATCTTTCAATAACGTTAAAGTAGGATGAAATGAAAATTCACTCTAACTTCTGGTGAAACGACAGACTTCTCTCTGGTAAATTATGTCTATAGTAGGAGATAAATTATTATCTCCTATTATTTAGTTCACTTAAACTCCATCCCTTTCTTACAAACAACTACAAGCTCACATTCAGATCTGCCTCCATCCAAAAATAACCAATAAACTAAACCAAGTCCCACTAATAACTCTTTATAACTGGATGTACATCACAAAAAAAATGGAAGAAAAAAAATCAGTTGCTACTTCCATTAAATTGGGACTTTTAAATTCAATTGCAAAAAGCACAATTAGATTTAGCAAGTTTAATTTATATCTGTAAATTTGTTCTTTTTAATTCAAAACTATGATTTGTTTGCAATGTCAAAAATGAACAGAAGTCCACAGTCAGCAGAAAAGTGTCACACTTTTCTTCACTTAAATAAAAAAATTTAATATTCTTGTGGGTAAGGAGTGTTGATCTTTTTTTAGCTGTATTTTACCTATAAAATACACATTTTTGAAAATACATGGCAATAATAAAGAACTCAAAAGAATATCAACCAAAAAAAAACTTTGACAAAAGGTTGAAAAACATCAAGATATAATCTTCTCATCTTATATCGTCTAGCCGTAATACACACAAACACACTCAAGAGGCAGGCAAGAAGAAAGACTGAGGTAGAGTTTGCTCCTAAACACACACATTGTGATACTGGCGGCTGGTACTGATCCAATACTCAGGGGAGGTGAGTGTCTGTGAACAGGGTCTGGTTCACTGTTCCACCCTGAGATCTGTGGCTCTTATAGAGCTGTTATACAGCATCACCCCCTGTGCCACACACACACACGCTTGGTCCCCCCTTGCCAACCCAACCAATCCCAGCTAACACAGCAGTACAGGGGGGGCGTGTGGTGAACCGTAACCCGGGGCGACCAGAGAGTATTAGTGCTCAGGCTCCAGCTCTTTTACGAGGAGAGAGAGAGAGACTGCGGTGGCTAGATATGGCTTCATACACACACGCTTAAACACACAAAGAGCTATATATACTGCGGACAGAGGGGAGGGACACCAGAACTGCAGTGTGTGTGTGTGTGTGTGTGTGTGTGTGTGTGTGTGTGAGTAAACCCAGTCCTGCGAGTAAGATTCGGCTCTGTTCAGGTGCATAAAGAGAGAGTGAGGAAGAGGGGGAGAAAGAGGCCTCCTTCGCCTTGTTGCCATGACAACTCCGACCTCAGCTCTCCCTCTACAGTGCCATTAAAACCCTCAGGCCGTCAATCATCTGCCAGTAGGGAGAGCGTGTGCATGTGTGTGTGTGCATGCATGTGAGAAGGGAGGGACCAAGCTTTTCAGCGCTCATCTCGTTTCTCACTGATTACTGCCATCATCTCATCAAGCCATTAAACAGGTGCTCATACACACTTCTACACCAGCCACTAAATAACAGTACTCATGTAAACATAAACATACACAACATACTCTCTCGGGTATTACGCTTCGGCACGGTACTCAATACCCGCTGCACAAGTAAACAAACACTCCAGCATGTTCGCATAAACACTTGGGGTTTATATCTCAACACCAGTTGCAAAACTAATATTCGACAACCAGTGCTTGACAAAATAGACACACATGGCTCTGATAAAAAAAAAAAGTGTGTGTGTGGGGGGGTGGGGGGATTACCATGGTAAGAGTATCAGATAGAAATATCATGGTATTATACATACATAAAATAATTATAAAATAGATATTAAAT